AACGTCCTTCATCACCCTCGCTTAAACTTAAGCAATGTCCCTCTGGTCGCCAAAACATTATTATCGATAGTGGTCGAGATTCAACGTTAATCCTGCATGATTTATCTCTTGAGATCGTAAACTCCTATGCCATGGACATCTTGCTTAGTGGCCCGTGCTCCTACGAGGATTCCAACCATCTTCTGATCCTTGTTTCAAAACTTTTTAGTAGAATGGTTGTGGATGCATATGTTTATTAGAAATATTACAAATCTCATGGTTGTATCATGGCACTAACCTTGCAGCTTGAGCGATAATGCCCAATGATTAGTGGTGAAGCTAGGAACTACACCACCGTTGATAGCTGCAAGATGAAGTTCTCACGATCGAGCTTGTGACCATAAACAAAGCACTACCGGGAGATACCCCGTATTATCGTAAGAAAAATATATATAATCACAAAAAAAACTAACTTTCTTATGAATAAAAGCAAGAACATGTTATTAAGTTAGTTTGCACCTTCAGGTATTTTTGATCGCTAACCATTTCTGGTTGAGATTAAGAAGGGGCATATGATGTTGAAAACATGGGAGCTGCATCAACTACATGCCTTAACCATTAGTGATGGAACACACTCGAAAGGAGACCCCCAACATTGCACACTTGACTTTCACAAAAGTCTAAGTGTGGGGGAGGATGGTGAAGATCCCAAAAGTTCTAAGCACAAAAATGATGACAACGATGTTAGCTCTATCTTGTTATAAAAAAGAAGAGAGAGAGAAAGAGAATTGAAAAAATGATGAAAAAATAATAATAAAAAGAAAAGAAAAGAGGGGCTGAAAAAAAGAGGAGAAAAAAGGGTAGAAGAGAGAGAAGAATGATTCTCCTCTTCTAGACCTTTGCTATCATCAAGGCTTATGATCTATACACACCATCTGTGTATGGCTTAAACCTTGTTGATCGCCTGAGTTGGACCATGTGCAACCAAGCAACTGCTGCAGCAACTTCGAAGCTCCATCCACATGCTGCCAATAAGTAAAACTCAGTTATGCAAAGGTAAATAAAATGTTCACCAACCTATTTTTATCTCCATGAGAAAATAACTTGCTCATAAAGTTCATGCTTCTTTTGTTTTTGTTATAGTGCTTTGGTTTGAGTGTATTTATATATGATACATCCATAGGCTTTTTAAATTAAGCATGGTGCTTAGGCTAAAATAGTCTTCTTTAATCAAAATTTGACAAGGTGTTGAAATTTGATTAATGAACTTTGAGCATTACTATCATAACTATCATAAACGATAGAAGTAGTCTATTATGGAGATAAAACAAGGCTATGCTTTTTTGTAAACTTTAGCTTAGCTTTGTTTATGATAAAAAGATAAAAAGTTAGGTGAACAATAAAAAAATTTATAAAAATAATAAATAAAAATAATAATAATGAATAAAATTTAGGCTTTCCTGTGTTTAGGCCGGTAGAGCCCTTATTCGTTTCTTTCTTTGTTTTCCTGTGTCAAATAAAATAGGTACAAGAATAAGTGTGGGGAAGATCTCTCAAGCATAGACTAACACTCATTTGAGATCTCCTACATACACGTTGCACAAACATCAGACGATCCATCATCAAGGACAAGACACGTGGTTCCAGAAATGGTTGGTTGAACTTTTGGTTTAGCCAAACCATCTCTGACTTCCCACAGCTCCTTCCTCTTCAACGTTGGTTTGTGCAACATTACCCCTCATCTCTCATAAATTTTTTTGAAGTTTAAAATTTAAAAAATAAAAAATGCAAAACAATTGTCGCTCTACTTCTATGCAATTTTATAAACCATGCTTCGTTCAGAATTCCAAAAGTGGCATGTTCATAACATCTTTAAGATAGAAGCTTGCATAAAGTTTGTTCCATATACAAACACTTATGCTTTTGAAAAAATATTATGATAGAACAATCATGTTGACTAAGTTGTTGAGATGTGTGATATAGTTCTGACTTAGAAATCCTACCGTTTCTATTCAAAGTACTTAAAGAATTTGTTTTTATAAAAATGTTATAAAACCATAGTATCACATACTCGTTGTTTGATGAGCAATTCCTACCAAAATCAAATATAACATCTAGCAAGTTTCAAGCCTTCCACATACGTTGCTTGTTATTATATTAACTTTGGTCAAGTCTTGTCAACCCTTGTTGAGAGACTTATCATGCTCCCAAGATTAAGATCACATACACTCACATGTACATGCTACTCTTACACTGGGAGTACGCAAAAACATGCTTCCATCCAGATCCACTAAAAATTCTGCTCCTACACTAGGAGTAGAAAAAAAAATATTTGTTAGGTAAATACTCCATGTTCTAGAAGAAAGTGATCTCTCTCTAAATATGTGGTTTAGAAGAAAAACATGGGCTATGCAAAAGGCTTAAAAACAAAAAATATATGGACACATGAAGGTCCATGTAAAAAAAGAAAAAAATGATTAGCACACGAAGGCTCATGTATTGAAAAAAAGAGAAAAAGATAGCCATATTTCAAAACAATAAGTTATAAAAAGAGATCATATCTACAAAAGGAGTATAGTTTTAGTTTAGCTTTTCCCATACACATGCACATCTTGATCTAAGAGTATGGCATTTCTCTCCTTAGATTCTCGATTTGACTTTACAACATATGCAATACAGGTATGCTATATTGTTTATCCCTACCTAAAGCTCCATATATACCTTTTTAGCAGTAGGAGATAACAAAAGAAGGCAAAACATTGCTATGCATTGGTAAGGATTTATACACCATTGAGTGATTTGAGAGTACCATTTGGAGAGTATAAAAGTGAACTATGCTTTTTTATAAGAAAAACTTTCAAAACTCCAAGTGCTAAGATGTGAAATTGGAAAATGACTTTGCTTCGAGAACTGTTCCACTTTTCAACAACCCAAGGAAACATGTTAGCTAACACCACATATCCCACTTGTGCAAGAATGTGTTGGAATAACTTTCATGTACAGCTGTATATCTTGGGATGGTATGCTCATGATTACTTTTTTATATCTACCTTGCTCGAGGACGAGCAAAGGGGTAAGCGTGGGAGAGCTTGTTGGCGGTGCTTAAGTCACATAATTAACCACCAACACTTGCATAAAATCCTAGCATACAGGCACCAAACTTAGACATAGGGCTTTAGAATTAACGATTTCCATGAGTTTTGGCATTTTACCATTTATAGGAGGACATGTCATAATAATATGGAAAACGCGCACAAATACATAATAGGATAAGGCATAACATCAACTGACATGAGCTCAGGGGGAGAAGGCCCACTTACCAGGAAAATCAGGGCCCTCTCACGTGGAGAAAAAGGCCCAAATCCCAAAGAAAACGTGCTCCAAATGGAGCAAAACTTTGCAGGACCCACCTAGAGGCTCAAAGGAAGCATCCCACCGAAGATGGGGCCATTTGGGCCCAGTTGGGGTGCGGCCTGGTGCTCCCGCACCACCACTGGGGCCCCTCAGGCCCATCTTTGGTGGGTCGCCTCATGCCGCCCCTCCATTGACTGTTGCATGGGGGAAGGCGGTAACTTAAATGCGTAGATAGGCGGTTTGGTACCTTCCATGAGGGGATGAAGCATTTTCAAATGACCCCCTCCTCTCCACCTATAAAAGGAGGTTTCCTCCTCATTTGACAACACACCGAGGGATAGAGCACCACACTTGAGCATCACTCCAAGGCTTAAGCCATTGCTAGTAGAGTTAGTTGGGAGAGATGTGAGGGAGAGTACGGGGAAGAGCCGAACTTGTCGATATCTCCCCGAGCTTGGTACCCCCGACGAACACATGTGCTTCAACAGGTTCTTCCGCTAAGTAAATGTTCGTGGTTCTTATGGTTACAAGTCTTTTGATTAGTTAATCTTTACTCTTACTTGTTTGCGGGTTCGTCGTCCGTTCTCGTAACAGATACTCTAGTAAAGGGCCCTAATAAAGATGGATCACCCTACGCAATGCTGAAGTAGTAGTCGATAGCGTAGCGTGATGTCTAGGCTAGAGGCTACCTTTGTTTGCCTCGTGCCCTACAATTAAGAGGTAGGCAGCAGATGGTGACAGCTCTGTCCGTCCCTCGTAATCCCCCACGTCCGGGTATGGCGTAGAGCTATATACCAGCATCGACTGACAGACTAGTTACAACCCGGTGTCCGAAGTAAGCAAGTGAAAGTAAAGTTTATCTTTCCATAAGATCCAAGAGCCATAGGAATCCGTCTCTAGCCTTTTCAACTTTACCACCTTGTGTTATCCTTGAAAGAATAGCTAGAAGAAATATTTCCGTTCCCTGTGAAAAATATGATACCCTGAATATTTCCAAGTGAAAGCTACAACGGTAATTCCGTGCGCTTGCGGAATCTTTCTGTTTGCGTTAAGAAATACCAACATCTAGCCGGGTCCACTTGGCTCAGCTGGGCCTCGATCGTTCGGGCCTTCACTAGCTGATGTATCGTAGGCCGCTCAGCCTACTAACTAATCGATGCCTTGAGACACCCGGGGATCATAACCCCGACAAATATAGAATATATGTTGCAGGTTATCCCAAGTAAATGGAAGATGCAAATGCAAACAGTCTTAACTGTCCTCATAAGCAACATGGTTCATGCATATAGGATAGACTCCATGACAGCTCTATCCAAACAGACACCACAGACATAACCAACTCAAGTATGCTTTTCAAGCGAATGACAATGGTTAAACTCAATTAAATTAGCACTATTACCAAACAAATAACCTCTTTCAGTTTCAACTACTGCGGTTGCAGCTAAATGCATTAGTTAAGTAATATTTGGTCTATGGAAACAATTCGCACCACCATATTTTGGTAAGTACAGCTGAACATGCTTAAGTAATTCATAGTTCAGCCCTTTGTTGTCAAATATCATATTCGTTCCAAATTAGATAATTTATTCCATTAAAAACTATTATTAAGAGGTCACAGCATATTACCCCCTCCATCCTTTTGATCTCCCTCCGTGCATATTGGCCCACTAAATAGACAGCTGCACAACAAAACAAAAGACCACAACATAAGACTCTCAAAAGGAAGAACCAAGATTCACATCACAGTTGGCTTTCAAAAACATAGCCAAGCATCAGAAAGGAATAGACTTTTCTCATGAAACAAACCTAGTGAGGGCATGCAGACAAAGAAGAGCTGCAAAAGGTGGAAGTCAAGCCTGAAATGGAATGAGAAAGACAGAAACCGGTGAAGCCTGTCACTGGAATTTGTTTCTTAATGGAAATCAACTACAAAAACTACAATCCACGCAAATTCCACAGACTAAGTGGTGCTCAGTTTGGAATGGTGTTCTAAGTTTCAGTCATCTTTGATAGAAGTATCAGTGTATCATGGTAGATAACTAATACATACATCCCAAAGAGAATAATCAACAGAAACTGGACACAAGTGAGTCTAAGGCTTCTTTGGAGAGGACCAAGCGACGATTTAAATACCATGAGGTGATATGAGATGCTAGCCTTAGGTATGCTAAATAGAAGGTTCCGAATGAATGTCTTCTCATTAAATGGATCTGAAGAATTGAAAGTAATTTTCAGCACCCATGGTATCAGTTGCTTTTTTCCTCTAATACGCAGGAGAGTTGATATCATTGCATTAAGAAGAATAACTCAGAGAATACAATGCCCCCAAGGCATTACAGTTAAGGTAGAAATTTCCTCGAACTGCAGGGTCAAGAAAAGGCACTAAAAGCTAGTTGCCCAGGACGCACCTACAGCACATGCCTACAGAACGTGTATATCTGAAGACAGTTACACCGCAAGGGGCCTTTTCTTCGTGCAAGCCACGGCTCAAAGCCCACCAGCAGTCTACCGACTAGAGGTCCTACCGTTGCACTATCACTGAGTTTGCCACACCTCTCATACAGAAAAATATCATTTGTGCCTTTGATGAACTAAAATGACCCAACCAAACCGAACTACCAGCCTCCTATCTAGCAATGACCTCTGGGTGAGCCAGATCCCAAGCACCCGCTTGGCACAAGTTGTACACTGGGAGCAATGCCATCAAAGACAGCATCATTTCAATGCTTCCACAAGGACAAAGGAGCCAAAGTGATCAACGAATTTTAGGCCTCCCTTGATGTTGCCCGGGCCAAAACAAGTATTCTCAACCACCATTCACATAAGATTTTTCATCAGGGAATGGTGATAAATCAGATAGTCCATATCAACAAAAGAGGAACCACACTTGTCTTGCAAATACACAGACACAAAGGATGTGTCGGATTGTCTTGTTCTCCTGGCCACATAGGGGGCAGTGAGCAGGGTGAGGTAAACCCCTAATGGCAGGTCCATCGGCCGGCCAACATCTGTTGTGCATTTCAAGCTAATCTTATGGAGGCACAGTGAGCAGGGTATCAGTTGCTGAGGAACAAATACATGCCACATGGGGGCTTGTTTTAGACACTGATCCTTATGGAGGGCCCATTTCTCGGTGGGGCTGTATGCCTGTATCCCATGTCTTGTTTGAAAAGGGGGTATCATATATTGTTCACAATAGCAGGTAGACAAGGTCTTCGACTGATATTTGGACACATGATGCCTCTCTTACAACCTTATTCTCCTTTGTCTTCTCAACTTGCAGGGATCGACTCACAAAACTAATTCACTTTTACAAGGAGGGGGAATGAGAGATTGGGTTCTGGAGACATTTTGTCCAAAATAAATCTTCAGACAGTGGGAACTACTTAATATGTTGAACTAAGTACCATATTATTAGTTGCGGATGAAAACAAGGGTTGAATGGGTTCAAGCAAAGTGCAGACAGTATACAAACAGGGGCCAATCTATGTATAGATACTTGACTATGAGGAATATTTCAAGCTACGATGCACAGAAAATTTGGAACTGCAAAATGCCCTTGGAGGTGAAGATTTTCCTATGGCAAGCATTGCATGATAAGATCCAATTGGCTACAAAAGAGAAGGGGAAAAATAACTGGCAGTGGGGTGAATTTTGTGCTCTATGTGTCAAGCTTGAAAGTGTAAATCACATATGTTTGATTGCTTCATGAAAACATTCCAGTAGTCTTGCATCAAAGAAGAGTGCAACTTGGATGCAAGCCCTAGGTCTCTGGAGGATATTATTCCTGACAGTATTTTCCATAAATTGGGAGTTACTTCTCTTTGGGGACAATTCAGTTTTTCAGAGGTTTTCTGGGCTGTTTGGCACATCAGAAATAAAACAGAGTTAACAAGTTCCCTAACAAATCTATACATGCATTTTTACTCATTTCTAGCTAAATTGGAGAGGTGGAAACTGCTTCTAGCGATCAATTTCAAAAGAAATCCCTAAATAACCTTATAGTACGATGCAAAACTAAACGACACACTTGTGACAAATCCTCAGCCAATGCTATAATTGTCAGGATTGTAACTTGTATCATGAAGCAAAAGCAAAGCAAGCTGAAACATTCCCAGCGAAATGAGACTAGTCAACTTCCATCTCATCTCGTTGCCCCTATCCTACTACCATTCCATCTAACCTTGCCTCGAGATGTAATTGCTACCAACATTAAGAAAGGAAGATGACCGTCTCTTGATACTCACCCGAACTCCTTGCGCTTGGATGTTAGCGGCGGTCTTCCAGTCGGTGCCACTGCTCCAGTCGAAGTTTTGGACTTGCTTGTGCGCCTCCGCCCGTGCCCGCGTTGCCGCCACCACCCGGGCCTCCGCTGCGGCCGCGGCCATCGCTGCTGCGTCGACGGGGAGATTGCTCTCGCCAGTGACAGAGGAGGTGGGGGTGGAGAGGAGGCGACGCAGGGATGCCACTAGGAGCCGGCGGCGAGGCCACAGCGCCGGAAGCATCGGGTCAAACCCGTGTTGTGGGGTCGGGCCCGTTCGGCACCCTCTAGGGCTTTGAAGGACCACGCTAGATTTTTCCGGGCCGTATGATGGAACGCCTAACGGTCCAAATCGATGCTTCCGCATGAAAATTGCATATTCTTTTTTACTCTATATCGATATAAGTATTATAAGTCCCTCTTTATAAAAAAAAATCCGTGTTTGACAACTCAACTTTATTAGTAAAGCAGTTTTTTTATTTCATCTTTACGAGTAGCTTTACCAATAAAACTAAAACTATTTTAAAAAATTATTTAGCGAAACAACATCACTGAGTCCATGCAGGAGTCCAACGCTCTGGAGGCCGGCACTGCTCCGCTCAACCGCGTATGAGTCTGCCCCTCTAGAAGCTGTCTCACCGTATGGGCCCGGGTGGTGGGCGAGGTCCTGCTTGCGGCCTAGTTGTCTTACCTTAGCGCCGCCTCTGGGTGGTCGCGTGACACTGTAGTGGAGCTTGTCGATGCAGCCGCGCACGCGATGAAGTGGCTGAGGCGAGCTGCTCGTCGTGTACCTTAGTTCAACTTCGGGCGGCGAGGGGCGGGTCACGGCACCGCTCAAGCTTTGGTGGGCATTCTTCCTGCTGTTGTCTATCCTAACCGTCGACGATGAGGACGGTGCCTGACTAGTCTACACATCGGCACAAGCCACGACCTCAGCTAGCCGGAGGACTTCGTCGGCGCGCAGGTGTCGAGGACACGCAATACAAAATATTTTAGCTTTTTTCTTGGAGATCCTCTTAACAATTTCATGCATGACCGAGTGAGGAGAATTGTCCAAGATACCTCTGTCCCTATGACATATTCTATCATTTGGAGTTGTATGCTTATATATGGTGATATGAATTTAAAAGTAATATATTTAAGTGCGTATGAATTAAAAAATAATACAAAATAATGTAAATCATTAGGAAGCAATATTTGTCATGTTTAATGTTTATTGTTCCATATAGTCACCATTCCTTTGTAGCAACATTTGGCGCATGCAGTCAGTAGCAGGAGGGAGGGGAGACACGCGCAGCCGCAGACACGCTCGGACTCTCCATCGCGGGTCGCGGCGTCGCCCAGATCCGCTCGCGGCCTCGCGCGCACGTAGCAGCCGGCAGCCGGCCACGCGCCGCTCCTCCAGTCCTCCTCCTCCTGCCTGCTGGCTGCTGCTGCTCCAGTCGCCGCTCTCTTACCGGTTACCGCTGGTCCGCAGCAGGCAGGGGCGCCGGCCCGCAACGGGTCGGCAGTCCCGTGTTTTATATTTCTCAAACAAAAGAAAAAGTCCAATCATTGCCTCTCTTTCTTCCTCGCTACAGCTTCGTCAAAGACGCGCGGAAAAGAAGTGGGGAGGCGACTCGGCCGAGGCCCCGGTCCCGATCTCCGGTTCTCCGATTTGCGCGTCCGGATCCACCAGGTTTGCTGTTTCGTGCCCTGATCTTTCCTCTGTATTCTGTTTCCTCGCCATGGGTACCCGCTTATTGAAGTTACGTGTGTCCGTTGGGATCTCGGTAGGGTATTTCGGGGAAACGGCGGCTGGGGATTTTGGTTATTCTGTAGATGCATACGCGTGATTCTACGGTGGGGGAGAAGATAGGTCATGGGGAATTTTGGGTTAATGGTGAATTCTAGCATTTTGATTTGGTCTTGCTGCTTTCAGCATGAGGCTTTAATTTAGTAACATAGTGTAGTTGGATTAATAATTGCTGTGAAGGGAGTTATCTTGTTGCAGCCTGCCACAAGTCGTTAACCTGCACATATAGAAGTCAAAAATGTGGTTTGAGTACCAACAAGCTGTGAAGCAAGAGACAGCATGCTATAGTCATCCGTATGTTGGGGTTAGCTGCAGCAGAGGCAAGCTAATCTTTTGGCAATGGTCATTGTAAACTTGAGTAGTCTTGTTTATCTAAGTGCTACCTTGGTGTTCTTTAGCCCATGTCTTGTTCTATCTTACTTAATGCCAAGGGTAGGTTTGCTGGAAAAAAAGAATGCTATTCTCGCAGATTCATGATGTATCATTTGCTCTAGTCAAACAAAATTCTTCTACATATGCAAATCCTTTTCTATGAAGCTTGTTGTACTCAATAATGGCATTGATAGACAGAAATGCCTAGAAATTATCTGTTGATAGCTTGCTCGTAAGAGCTCCCTGCATTTTCAGCCACAGTTTTTGTGGTGCTTTACATGGATATGAAAAGGCTCTACATGATACTAGTTTATTACAATGAAATTGTATGATAATGGGTTACAACGTTGTTGTGCTATTATGCTTATCCAAATTCTGCTCACATGACCTGTTCTGTCATTTTGAACGAACCAGCAATGGCATCATCTTCGGACCCATGGATGAAGGAGTACAATGAATCATCCAGACTTGCTGATGACATCAGTTCCATGATTGCCGATAGAGGGTCTCTTCCACAATCAGGCCCAGAAATTATGCGGCATACTTCAGCCATTCGGAGAAAAATAACTATTCTTGGGACTAGACTGGATAGCTTGGAGTCCTTGCTTGGCAGAATTCCTCCAAAGTCAATGTATGTCCTGTTGCAACTACTTTTGCAATTATGTGATACTGACAATGGGTGGAGTGCTTGCAATGACGCTATATTTGTTTTTCTCAGGTCTGATACTTAGCAATGAAACATATCGCTATTGAATCTTGGAGAACTTGTTTAAATGGATGATCTGTTCTGTCAATTCCATATTTGACGTGTCCTTAGAATCAAATTGAACAATATTGCATGCTGCCGTAAACGAAGGGTTATGATGTTAACACTGGCTAATCATCTTTTATTATCTGTTCACAACTTGTACATGGGAGACTAGATCTAGGGATGCAAAGTCGAATGATTGAGCTGTGAACTATGCCATGAGTAAGTGAATCAATAAAGATAAACACCTTAGGTGATGAAATGAAACGTTAGGATAGCACTCTCCTCAAAGCACCTCTTGCCTGCACAACTGGGTGCGCTCAAAAATGGTCGTATCGACTATGCAGGCTTAGCCTTTGCGGTGCTTGCAGCCGCTGTGCAGCCTGATGCACCCACTATGCAATTGTGCAGCCTAATCCACCTTTTGCCCTGACGCTCGTGGACGAGGCCGCGCGGGCGCGCGACGACGAAGCGGAATTCGGGAGAGGTGGAGACGGCAAGGCCGAGCTCTAACGTGACGGCGAGGTGGACCTGAAGCGCCGCCGCGACGGCAAGGCAGAGCGTGCGACGCGCGGTCATGCCAGCGAGGAGGAAAGGGCGCGGGCAAGCCGACGCGGCTATAGAGGAGGACGAGAAAGGGTCACTGGGGAGGCCCGACAAGGCTGGGAGGTGGAGGAAAGGACGCCGGCGCCCAGTGGAGAGTGGCCGTGTGGCTTGCTTCTACGCCGACTGAGGACACACTTTTTTTTTTGGGAGAAAGAGCTCACGTACAACCTGAAGAAGAGAGGGAACTGGGAAGGAGTCTGCAAGTGCCTCAAATCACACATGTCGACGCCTTGTCACGCTCCACGAATCGGCCGGCCACATCCTCGCCAAGTTCTGAGGTGCTCCTCCTGGCCGCCGAGGAGCTTGACATCACGCTCCTCTTGGCTGGTGTTTGGGCGGCCACGAGCTGGCACAACTGCTGCTCCAATCATGTAGCAAGGGTGTTCGATGAATTGCCAATACCAATCTCAGATATGCAATGTAACCAAACACATATTAGTAGTTGCGGCTTACCACTATGCATTCAACCAACCAGACATACAAACAACTCAATAGAGTAATGCAGCCTAACCAAACAACAACAAATTGCATTCACTTGTGCAGGCATAGCTTATGCTGTATAACCTTTAATGCAATGCAAGTCCTATGCAAGTAACCAATCAGACCCTATGTGTTGTGCACAATTGCACATTGTTTCAGAATAGGTCGTGTAATAGTTTGTTTTCTTGTAGACTCTAGACTCCAGGAGGCCTGACCAAATATTGGTCATGGCCAAAGTTAGGATAATACCAAATTTGTGTTATAAGTATAGCATTTTGTTTGTGACCAAGCCAAAGTTGTGGCCATGCCAAAATTGGACTTGGTTGCAACCATGCCAAATTTTTTCTAAAACAAGTACGATAATGTGGGGCCCACATCAGTGTTTTTTTATTAAATTTCGAAATATATTCATCATGGGTCTTATTTTTTTTAGATTAAATCACAAGTAAGTTAATGTTAAATGGATCACATACTGGACATAGTTAGAAAACAAAAGTCCAAAGACTTACAAAGTGTGCAGCACTTCTTGGACCACCCTCCAGCTGATGCATCAGCATTGCAGCCCAGCCAAAATTTGACCAGCAATTTGCTAGCCTTTGCCTGGCCAACGATTTGGCCTGACCAAAATACTTTTGGGTACTAGAGCAGACACCTGCCAAATTGCATGGGCAGGGCCAGAACTTGGATGCCTGCTGGGGCACTGATCCAAACAGCCCATAAGTTATTACATGAAAAGAGTGCAACTTATTGGTTATACTAGTAAATGGTTTCCTGCTTACAAATGGAAAACATGATTTCTTTGTTCTGCTGATTACTATGATGGTGTGGACAGCATTTCAGTATATACATGTTTTGTATGTACAAGTTGAGAGAAAAAATTCATTATGAGAAGGATTTGCATGTCAATGAAAAATATTATTCCTTGACAAAGAACTTCATAGTTTGATGTCTAGACATTTACTCTGATCTGATTTTTTGTGTACTATCAAACATTTTCTTGAAATTGATTTCTTTTGACTTGTGCAGCACTGACAAGGAGATGCATAAGCGCCAAGAGATGCTTTCCAATTTGAAGTCTAAAGCAAAGCAGATGGCCACAAGTTTCAACATGTCAAACTTTGCTAAC